AACATAAAGACTTAAATATGTTAACACCAATTCTAATTGTTGTGTGTTTAATTTCTGTAACGTCTGGACATCCTCATGAAAGAAGACAAAATGATGAACCGATATGTTCCAAATTTGACTATGAAGAAAAACTTTTGGAAAAGATGATAAGAATGGAAATGAAAATGGAAAAGATAAAAGAGGAAGTTAAAGATAAAGAAAAGAATATAATGTCCGTGGCGACCAATTTGTCCCAAAGAGTTGGAAATATGGAAAATGACGAAATTCAGTTCCAACGTGGTATCAACCGCACAATGGTCGAATTTGCTGACAGCTTTTGTCAGGAAAATAGCAAACTGTCAGATTTAGCAGGTACGATTTTTATTGTTTTTTCAAGCTGTTTTTTCATTGATACATGAAAAAGAACAATCAATATTTTAAGCATTACGACGGATGATTAAACATTCATTTGTACTTTATTTCATAAAATAATTCGTGGAAGTTGTACTCAGGTCTACCTATAGTTAATAGAATGAACAATGAAGCGTAACATTTTAAATATCTCAATAACGATATAAATGATATCCATATAATGTACATTGTTTAACAATACATTATATTAATAACACTACAAAATTGATTGGCAACATAATGCAAATGTGATTACAATCAGGTCTATTTTGATGGGACGTCGTTGCGCGGCATACGACCTTCAGATATGCATTGCGAAAATGTAATTTTTAAGGGGGTGATTGAATTTTCAATTGATGTTTTTTTTTAATGATGGTAGTTAACTTTTGAATCAGGCAAATGAAGCTTTCTGGTGCTGCTAGGACGGGTAGTTCTTAAAATCCCTCTACCTAAAGGTATAACGTTTACATGCAAGTTCTATAGAAATATTGTACTAATAAAAACTACACATACGTCACCCCGAATCGGGACTAATTCGTCACTTACATGATGGTATACGAGAAAGTAAGAGTGCTCCGACTTTATCTTTTCTTTCACCGAGACCCATCTGCGATCACACTTGATTTTTTCTACTTTCAAAAACTTAAATATTACCGGTCTTGGAAAAAAATTCAGAAATATCATTGAGTCTACAGTCAAATATATTCCCAGTGCTTGATTAACTGAAGAGATGTAGATGGGCAGATGACCAATATTTTAAAGGACAGAGCGTGTTAAAATGAGCGGAACTTACGTTGTTTTTTTATATGAAAAAACAGCAAGATTTAGTGATACTATCTTTGGATCACTACAATTATTCCAATATCTACATACGTTTTTCTAACAATTTAGCTCAAATTGCTATAAAACTTATAGTTGTATTCGAAATATTGTATTTTACTTAATATTAAAAATGAAATAGCAAGAAATAAAGAATCCCTAATGAACTTCCAAAACGACAAAATTTGAATTGCTGCATGCTCGGTTAAACTGAGTCTAGTTATGTATGGTACTTAACAATGGAATCTACCGTCCGCGCCTCCTAGCACCGGATCAGGCAGAATTCAACAATTAATATGAAATGGTAAAATGTAGAAACATCCGCTAGATGTGTGAAGTTGGCGGTCCATCGGCCTAGCGGCGTGAAGTTGGCGGCCAGCAGCCCAGCGGCTTGCGGCGTGAAGTTGGCGGCCCAGCGGCCAGCGGCGTGAAGTTAGCGGTAGGGCGGCCCAGCGGCCAAAATATTTAATGTTGCAGAAATGCTAATCAAACAATAAAACATTAAAACGGCATTTAATGAAGTTCTTAAGATGTTTCTAATTATTTAAAGGATATATAAAAAGAAAAGAAATCACTTTGAGATTTTTTTTGATTTTATCATTTTTATCATTAAAAATAAGTGGAACATGCCCTAAAAAAACGCTTAACAAGGGCAATATTTTGTTCCAGAAAGTTTTCTTCTGATTTCAACGACGTCCCATTAGGGCCATCGCGACACACACATAACGCGAAACAACGTTAAAACGAATTTATGATGGTTAAAAGTCGAGAGAAAATAAAACCCCAAAAACACGATGGTGAAAAAAAACTCGGTATAATATCGTACCATCGTCATCGTATTTTCGACCTCTGGACATCGTCTTTCCGTTGTTTCGTGGCCTCGGAGACATTATTCATTAAGTGTTACGTTACTTGCTCAAGAAAATAACGGCTTGCCCCTGACGGGGTTTTACCCACACGGCGAGCGATACATAAATGACTAGTTCGACACGCTAACCACTCGCCATACTAATACTTTAATTTATTAAAATATACATGCATAACAATTTTATATCATAATGATATGGTTATAAAGATCTTAATTTCATATGCAAGTTTTTTTATATTTTTAAAAGATGTTAGAAAAAATAGGACGGATATAAAATTAGATTCTATTCCAAATATTGGCACCATTGTACCAAAAAATATATTTTTTACAATCATTCATGGGATGTTGAGTACACTATGTCATTATGCGATGCAGATCGAAAATGGAAGCAAAACCTTGATAATTTTAATTAGAAAGCAAAGATACTGTACATATATTCTCGGACTTCCCGTATATACAACACCATAGGAATAAAGTGTTTAAATACACCAATAGCAAGAACGATATATTGGCAATCATGTGTTTCATGATAATAAATTAAACAACTACACTTAACGAAACTTATAAGTAACATAACATAACATATATTTTATTAGTCTTAAGCACATTAACAGCTCATCGACATTTACATACAATATGACACGTATTTGTAGCATGCGTAATAATTATTATAATCATATTTACAGAAATAGAAAAACACATACATTATACACAAAACACAAAACACAACGGCTACACACAATAATAAACAGCGAGAATTGACATATTTTTTATAAAAACAGAAAGCTTGGTAAATACGTCATCTATTATGACACTATTATGTTGGAAAGTACACATTCACTGTTCGAACACTAATTGGTCTCTCTAAAAAATGATTGTCTGATTCTAAAAGCCTTAAGAATATATAATGCTAGCTTGATAAGTACATTTTTATTGGTCGAATTTAAAAGTTCAATAAACTTGTAAACACTTGCATGATTACAATAATAGTCACTTATATACTTCTTTCTGATGTCTCTATATAATTTACATGTTAAAACGAAGTGGAATTCGTCTTCAATGTCATTCATGTCACATAGCATACACTTTCGCTGATCTCTCGGCACTGCATTTTCAAAGTGTCTTGCCTTTTCTATCATTAAATCATGCGATCCCATACGTATCTTTGCAATTGCTCGTCTGTATTTCAAGTTATTCAATATTATGAGATATGAGGGAATTTCAAAAGTTTGTTTGATTTCCTTGTATAAATATAACGAAGGACACGTGTTAATATCTATATACCATTCTGCTATGTAAAAGTCTCTTAGTCTCTGTTTCAGAATAGGCGTAAATCTTTCTATACAAACAGATGCTGGGAAAACCCATATTTCACCAAAACCAATTGCATTTAATAAATCTCTCACTTTTAATAACCAATTGTCAATAGCATTTTCAGTCAAATTTAACAGTCTATTTTTTATATAAGTACTCCGATTTCAAACTTGCAGGAAAACTCCGGTTTTCAAAATATATACTCAACTTGAAGGTATTTGATTTTTTTTACAATGGTGATCTCAGTTACTGATTTTCTGTTAAGTTTGAGTTATTGTAAAATGCATTTACTATTATAAAATGATGATACTATGATTAAAGTTTATACAGTATCGACTTAGACTAGTTATAGTAATTCTAACACAATATAATAAAAATTGGTCAGAGTACTTATAAGTTTCGTTAAGTGTATATACATTAACAAGCAAAATACAACATATACAAATATTTATACAAATCAATGTTTAAAAACCTTAAAAACTTCATCAAATGCCGTTTTATTGTTTAAATAACATTTCTGTAACATTAAAATTTTTGGCCGCTTGCTGCTTGACTGCCCGACCGCTAATTTCACGCCGCTGTGCCGCCCGGCCGCCAACTTCGCGCCGCCAGCCGCTGGGCCGCTGGCCGCCAACTTCACGCCGCTAGGCCGCTGGACCGCCAACTTCACCCATCTACATCCGCTAATGTTCACATGAACTAATTTAATTTTATCTGAGATACGTGTATATACTCGTACAACAATTATTTATTATGTTTTATTTATTTATTAATTTTTATTTGTTTATTTCTATGTATTTATTTCATTTTATATACATATATATATATATATTTTTGGCAATCATACAACATTGCTAGCATTACTGTTCCGATTTAAAGTCTTGTTAGGTAAGATAAGAACTTTTATTTATCTTCTTATCGATTATTTCAAAACTTTTATTTGTAGAATCTGTTTCTTTGATCGTGGTAAGATTGTAATTATAAGTAATTGATAGCTATAACATTTCTTCGAAATATATGCTAATATAATTTTACACAAAAGTGAAATAGCTACAAACAAATAACTTACGTACGATATTGACTTTTTATCTTTTTTTCTCTACAGACAAGTCCCTTATACCAATTGTTGGATTCAACGCCCATTTATCACTTACAAAAACAGTAAACAGAGGGGACAGAGTTGTCTTTGATACTGTCATAACAAACCAAGGTGATAGTTACGGCAGTTCTACCGGGATATTTACTGCACCGTACACTGGACTCTATTTCTTCTCAGCCCATGTTTGTAATGAGGGAAATAAAAACGTGATTTACTCTATATATCAAGAAGGAACACAGTTAACACGTTGTACACAGTATGATAATAACGGTGTTTATAGCTGTAGTTCAGTGAGCACAATCGCCATGGTAAACAAAGCGGAACGAGTGTGGGTACAAACTCTATATACCTCAGTGTTTTATACTGATGGTTACAGATGGAATGCATTTTCTGGATCTCTCTTAAACAAATAACTATATATAATAGCAAAACTAGGTATAAAACATACCCAGGAACGTTCCCATAACCGGATATAAATGTTAATAATGAGACACAAATGTCTTTACTTGCAGTTTATCACTTAATATAAATATTAATAAAATACCAAACCAGTTTTGCCTAGAAAAGGCTCATCACTCTGTAAATAGTTGTATGTATATATTTTGGGAAGTTGACTAAGTGTGCTTTCTTCAGAAATCCGAGGATCTAAACTTGACTCACAGAGAATTCTGTGATTTTTTATCAAGCAATAATAGCTACATAAAAAACGTGGGAAAACAGCATAATGTTCGCGGAAATGGAAATTGTATTTTTTGTTTGTTTGCTTTGTTTTGTTTTCAGCTTTGTATGTGAGTGTCGTTGTGAAAAATACGGGTTTTTTTTGTATTTCTTTTCTTTAAATTTTGTATTAATTTTTAATGTATAAAAGGACATATATCGAACACCGTAGGATAAATTAAGGATATTTGTTTATATATAACGCACTCAGAAGTGACAATATTGTGATTATTTATTCAACACGGAAAGAAAATGACGCCAAGCATGCAACGGTTGAGCGTACGAAATAACTTAAGTTTATAGCTATCATTTTGGTGTAACTGTTTACAACTTTAATGTATGAATTAATTTCAATTGATAAATATGCCATCAAGATCACAACGATTAATTTCAATGAAAATATCCAAATAAAGATATACTTTCTAATTTTATGTTAGAAAATATTGATAATTGCAACACCTTTGTAAATATAAAATAAACATGTTTTGACTTCACACAAAGAATAAATTATGTTTAAAATTCTACACACTAAAAGAACCGTTTTTTGTTATTGTTGTTTTGTTGTTGTTGTTGTTGTTGTTGTTTTAGGAAAGACCTGTCATAGGGTAAACAACTCCCCATACATAGTTTATTCTTTCTCTTATTCAAACAAGACATATCTAGTAAGATTTACATAGATTTGACAAATTTCTATAATTTAAATACTTTACTTAATGATAGACATACTATGTCTTTAAAAAGTGTTATGATCATTTTATTGTTAAGATGATATTGTACACGTATTTACTGATGGCAATATTCATTTTTTACAAATGTGTGGAAGAATGTTTGATCGTTGACGTTGTGTTGTTTATTAAACACAAAAATATGTTAAACCTTCATAACATGTTTACTTTTCAGTACATCTGGTTTTGTTAAACACATGAATTGTTGTTGTTGTTGTTTTTGTTTTCATTTCTTTCCTCAGGCTTTATGCTACGCTAATACTGGTAATGTGTCGACTTACCAGCTTTACTGTTGCAGAAAGATTTTAGTCGACCCTCCGTTCAAAGACCTCACCTGTACAATTTATAGAACTATCCGTTACATTCAACTTTATAATGGCAAGTTCTATCCTTATCTTAGAGCCATCCTTAAAATTGTATTTAAGAATGGCAATAACTATTTTTCACATTTTATTTTAGAATGACCTATGAGTTTCCCAGATCTCAGTTTGTAATTTTAAAATGACTTATTAAATTTCTCCTTATATTTAGTTCTACCTTGTAAATTTTACAGGAAGTTAAACTAATTTTGACGGCCTTCGGGATATAGTGACTTTATGTTCTGTCCCAGTTTTACGGACAAGGTTTAGAACGAACAAATATTATTAGTGCCCATAAAATTAGTTTATAATAACTGAAAACTTTATATCGTTACTTTCATGTCCATCAAATAAGCTATTTGGTTTGATAGGAAATAAATAACCCAAACCTTCGAGGACCATGTAAAAGCAGGAACTTGCCTCCTAATAACAGATCTAATAGGTGTATTATGTATTAAATATATTGAATTGTCACGTGGTTTACTTCATAGGCAGGCGTTGGATGTATATAATTAGTATAGAATATATAAACTTATTTTATTAATCTTGCAAAATAGTCCTTGACTATATCTCCTTTCTTGTAGTTGGTTTAAAATATATACTAGGGAAACAGTTTTGTTAAATACATGAATTGTTGTTGTTGTTTTCATTTCTTTCCTTAGGCTTTAAGTTACGCTAATACTGGTTATGTGTCGACTTACCAGCTTTACTGTTGCAGGAAGATTTTAGTCGACCCTCCGTCCATTAGTAATGGGCGACAGGACACCCAAGGAGAACAACTCACCTTCATGGTAACTTATAATTAGATAGCTTTATCTCAAGAACAAATTACAGTTCCTACTAGGTTTCTAACCTGCAGCAGTTAGGGCCAAGTGATACAATGTATCGATCATAACCACTCGGCCATGGAGAATCTACATTTCTTATTGGCGTTGAATCTGTGGAAAATGAAAACAAATGTCAATGATGAGGTCGTACTTCAAACAAGCAAACCAATTGCGTAGTAATACTTGACTTTATTACTCAGTAAACATGACAAAATGGTACTTTAATATATGTATTTTAATAATCAGTCAGCCCTTTGTACACCTTATTACAAATTTCACAGGCAACTATTTCTGTAATATAAAATTTGTAAAATATCTTATTTGTCAAACCATCGGTCTCAACTTACGTAAATATTTCGACATTTTCATAAAACTTCATATGTATGTTTTACTCAGTTACTCATGACAGGGTTTAACAGTTAATACTTTTTAAAATTAAAAATAAGTAGTATCACTTAAAAGATACTCGGTCGAGGTAAAACTGTTTAACTTGCATACATGTTATTTATACGTTTTCGATACATATAGAAATATTAGCAATGCTTGCATAACAATGACATAATAATTTCTTGTAGCTAAGAAAAAAAACATTTAGTGAACATAGAAATCAAATTAAAAATAAGGATAATGATATCGGTGTCTTTTCAAATAAGTTAAATTCAATTAATTTCTTTTTTATATTATTTATTTAGGTGTCCCTATTAGTTGATTTCACGTTTGACTTGAGAAATTTTGAAACCATATGCAATATTGACAGTATTTTTGAAATGAATCACATGTGAAATATTGCAAATAGGAATGAAAGGGTAATACGTAGTATGAAATCAACATCCTATTTATAAACGTGTTATATAATAAAAACAGCTGTGATGAAACGGAAAGATATAAAACACTGTAAACGCTTTGTTAAACGGCCTTGGCTTCACAATCAAAACCAAGTCTAATAACTAGAGATATAACAAAAGTGGTAAATAATCCCACCCACCACATTCATCGTGTGAAAGTCTGGGGTAAAAAAAAATCAAATTAAAATTTAACATACAAATTAAGAATTTGGCTTTCTTATGTAACAATAAATTATGTTTGTTACAATGACAGAATAATTAATGGTGTTATTAATTTTGGCAATTGAACACTCTACGAGATATACAAGAGATACATATATGTGTTCGCAAATGGAAGTGTTGTGTTCCGGTAGGTGAACTTATTTCGTAACACCAACATCTACGTTGTCGTTAGGCAATTATATTTATAAATACTTGATTATATGCAAATTAATATGAAAATAATTAAGACATTAATTATAATATGATATATGTGACACTTATTAAACATCATAAACTAAGGGCACCTGTTGAGGTCGGATGTTTTCGTGTGTCTTTTTGGTATTTTCATGTGCATTAATATAATTTTAGATGAGGTTTCGTTCTGTTGAACAAAATATATTACTCACTTATACTTGTATAAAATAAACTCAATAAGGTTTTATGTAAAATGAACTGTTAACAAGAAAATGGGATGAGATCTTTACGCAGTGTAAATCGTTTTGTGTTGAACACAACTAAATTATCTGAATAATTTAACTGGAAAGTTAAAGACCTAACCTGTCCAATTTATTTTAGAACTATCCGTTACATTTAATTTTATTATGGCAAGATTTATCCTTATCTTAGAACCATCCTTAAAATTATTTTATTTAAGAATGGCAAGAACTATTCTTTACATTTTATTTTAGAATGACAATGAGTTTTCCAGATTTCAGTTTGTAATTTTAAAATGACTTATTAAAATTCTTCTTATATTCAGTTCTACCCTGTAAATTTTACAGGAAGTCAAACTAATTTTGACGGCCATCGGGACATAGTGACTTTAAGTTCTGTCTCGGTTTTCCGGAAAAGGTTTAGAACGAACAAATATTATTAGTGCTCATAAAATAAGTTTATAATAACTGAAAACTTTATTTCGTTACTTTCATGTCCGGATAATTTTTAAATCAAATAAGCTATTTGGTTTGATAGGAAATAAATAACCAAAACCTTCGAGGACCATGTAAAAGCAGGAACTTGCCTCCTAATAACAGATCAAATAAGTGTATTATGTATCAAATATATTGAATTGTTACGTGGTTTACGTCATAGGCAGTCGTTGTATATAATAAGTATAGAATAAGAAAACTTATTTTATTAATCTTGCAAAATAGTGCTTGACTATATCTCCTTTCTTGTAGTTGGTTTAAAGTATATACTAGGGAAACAGTTACACATTTAGGTTGAAAAAAGTTTATGTTTTAAAAACATTTGTAGTTCTAAATTACATAATGAAATCGGAAGAAAATTCAACATGTATGCATTAAAAGTTATTAATACATTACAACATAACTACCCTTTCGTCGGAGCGTTGGAATACGTCATGCGTATTAGTTAAGCGATATGGGTTATTATATAACACTAAAACTGTAAGATAAGATTTTCCGGGACCACAATGTCAGAGTTCTCTTCCTTGTTATTGAGAATAATTTTGTTAAAATTAATCTCAACAACTGTATGCTATCAAAATACCCACGCGCTGGGATGACATTTCTAGCATATTGATTAACTATGGAGTATTGCACATATTTTTGCCGCTTTTTCTATTTTAAAGAACGGATAACATAAGAATGAATATTGAAATCATCACCTTATTTATGCGGACAAATAATTGCCTTGCATACACTTTTCTATTACTATGCATGTATAAGGCCTTACAAATTACAATCATTAAAAAAAGAAATACTAACAGATGAAAA